CTCTTGTAAAATTTCAAGAGAAAAGGTCTATTTATACTCCCTTATTATTATTTTTTTTTTCATTTGACGTCATCGGCATCGACTGCTAAGGTCATCATTAGCCTCGTGTTCTGTGTAGGCTTTGTTACTGTTTCCCAGCGCCACTTTAGGAACAGCACTGTTAATTAGAACCCAACAGTGAATGGTCGAGTGGGGAATTCTTATTATTAATATTTGTATTAGTATTATGATTAAGGATTAAGTTGAATCTTCACAACGTAATGGGGACATTACTCGATTTATGATTATTATTAGTATTAATATTTATGCATAATAATTGACAGGTTCAACCTTTACGTAAAATCTTAAATTTCTTCTTCTCTATCAAATGAATCAATGATGTATTTGGCCTTTGTTTTTAATATAATGACAATTGACTATTCACATATGATTATGCTGTCAGATGTTGTTTATAGGTTTGTTCCAACAAGCTCGAAAACGATATTTCGGTACAATTTTTGTGTATCAGCAGTGTCTACAGAGTATAAAGTTGACAAACGACATATCACCACGAGGAAGCAAAGGCCTCCTTTTTGTCTGATTTGTCTCAAATTCCTGCTTCTTTTTATCTGTTATAAATTTGAGACGTAAATCCGTTAAAATGTCCTTAATTAAACCTATTTTTGAATAATATTTTTAAATAAAATTAACTAGTAAAAATATTAATAAAAACACATTTAAAACTCAAATATCTTAAAAAATATTCTAAGAACACAACTGGCCTTTTACACATTTCTTTAGTAACCAACATTTTGTTGACTGCAGAATAATATCTTATTATTAAAAAAGAAACACTAATACTAATTATAAAACGAGTATAATTATCCTTTTTGAATATTTTGTCCAGTTTAATGCTTAATCATATTACTAATACAAATACTAATAATAAGGGAGTATAAATAGACCCTTAGTGTGTTTCTGTGTTTTAACATAGACATTTCTAGAATATGTTAAAAAATTATTCCAAGTTTTATGACGATTTTTAAAGTACTTTTTTTATTTTGCTTAAATCGCATTTAAGGTTAAACTATATCTGCACAATTTAGTATAAACATTTAAAAATGATCATAAATCTCTTGTAAAATGCCAACAAGTAAGTGTGTATTAACATTATCTACATTTCAAACTGGCATGCTGAGATTGCTGAGTGGTGACATTGGCGTGCTTTGAATCTTGGCCCTGATTGGACTAGAGTTACAAAGCAACCTATAATAAACGAACCTTGGCACTGTGCAGCTTTCTGAGTGTCTTTTAAACATAGGGTTTCCAGACGTCACGCTTTTGGCGTGGCAGCCACGCTTTTTGACTTGCCTGCACGCTTTAAAAGCCGCAGAGGAATCGGATTTATACAAAAATAGACCGGGTAAAAGACCCTCGTTTGTACGAAAAATAAGTGGAGAACCTTTTTTTTAAGAAATGATCACAAAAAATGGACCTGATTATATAAAAATGCTCTATCGTCACGGTTGCCACGCTTTTGACTTCCGAAAATGTGGCAACCCTATTTAAACACATACTTCGATTTACGAAGACTGGTCGCACTGCGCAGCTTTCAGAGTGCCTTTTAAAAGGAGATAGAAAAATCCGTCATTTTGAACACTCATTACGTGTTACCTACATCTTGGCGCAATAGTTTTAGTGGTTATGTTATAATATTTACCCAAAGTCAGTCCCCAAAGATATTATTTACGAACCTACACTTTACAAAACCATTAACAAATAATGAATATCTTGAAAACCTTGCTTTAATTTGTGATTTTATGTTAAATCTTTGCGTTTGTAAGTAACAGCAACGACTTTAATTATATTCCTATTGTTGTATTCTAAATGCTTTTTATTTTTCAGGTATCCTAGGAATTTCGAGCACTTAACTTGAACAGTGTTTATAAACCATTAAGCAAATTTTTTAGAAACTTTTTAGAAATTTTTTAGAAACTATTTTTAGCTAAATTCTGTTATGTCGGTTCTCAGCATTTTAAGGAAAATGCGTATTGCTCTTATGTAAAAAGGTATGTGATCAATCATGAAACAATTCTTTGTAGAAGGCAAATACCAAGAAAATTGAAGCATTTACTTCAATAGATAGGAGCAGTATTAAAATCAAACGAAATAATATAAATAAGCATGTAAGTAATATTGTTTACTTTTTGGAACATTTATATTATAATAATTGTTTATATTTCAAGTTTACTACCTCTGGCTCATCTACACACCTGAAAGTAAAGGTAGCCCATAGCCTCACTAAGAAAATAGCCACCTCTGCTAAATAGTTTATCGGGAACAGTTAGAAAATGACCTATAATATTTAATTTTTCTATTTGGTACAGTAAACTGTGTTGTCCAAGCGGCGACCGCCGTAAAAAGGTGGTCAACCAGAATAAATACAAAAATATATTTTATTACTTTTTGGGTATTAGATAAATAACAAACCATCGGTCTGGTAGTCTATGACTTGTCCAATTTTTTTTTTTTTTAAATAAAATGTGTATTTTATTTTTTTTTTGTAAAATTGATCTACATAACTTAAACATAATTTATTAGTTTACGATGGCGTTTTGACCAGATGAATATAGAAATTCAAGTCTGGCGTTTTTATTCTTGACGCAACTGTTTGTCAGACCACCCTAACAAATTTATTACAACAACAAATTTTCTATACAAGGTATAAGAAAAAATCAAACGTCAAAATTTTTATTTTTTATTCCTCTTTCGAATAAAATTGGTCTGGCACGTTCATACTTGACCAAAATTCTGCCAGACCAAGATTAAGCAAGTCCTTCTCTACTGCTTGTAAAACGCAAGCTTTTTATCTTTTATTCAATCAATGTTTTAATTTTTATTGATTTTTGAAGCATATTTTACAACAGAATCATACAAAAATATTTTCTCATCGCTGTACTAAAAACAAACAGATCGATTTTAGAATTGTTTATGAAAGTCTACTTCAATTTTGTTAAAAATGATTTTGTGAAAACATCATTAAAGTATATGGCTGTCCTTTTATTTTAAGTCCATTATTTTGGCATTACATACTTGTATCCTAAAGATATCACGAGCATGGTTTAAACCATAGTGTATTGTTTATACTCAACTAAAAGTTCTTGGGAGTTTACTGCCATATTTAGATTTTTTTACATTTGATTTCCTTTCCAAAACCTTCACCATCTCTGCTTGAATTTTTAGAGGGTATAAATAAAAGTGTCGTTCTTTTTATATTGTAAATTGTTGCCTGGAAGAGTATGTTACTCTGGTAGTATTTTCTAAATCTTCTTTAATCTCGCACCTTTTTTTTATTTTATAGTTTCGTATCATATTTACAGCTGAAAATGCAAAATACATTATTAGATTGTTTAACCTCAAATATTTTTATTACATTAAGAATGGTGCAGATTTTGCATATGGCAAATTTGCCCCATCCCCAATCATGACAAAAATAAAATAAATGTTTGTCCATGGCCATGGGACTGGCGAAAAATATCATAATAATGTAAAATCGTATGCACAGCTTTAAAAATACTTTTAAACCACTCACCTCTATTTTAAGATGCACTAGTAATTATAACTTTGCTTTAAAGAATTTGCTTCTATATTATTTAAAATATATAAACGTTTTTTCTACATTTCTTGCCTTCATTTAAAATCTCAAAATACCAAGATGTAGACTACGAATTTAACATTATGGGTTTACATGTGTTGTCTAACCAGTATGATTTGCATCAAAATGGCCGCGCCTTATCTTGGACGCATCGGACGTCCCATTTGCATCGTATAGTAAATCTATAGGTATATGGGACTAGTAGTAACATAATAACCTTCAATTATCAGAAACTGGTTACCTTTGACAATTACTGTGATTGTGACATTTGTCATGTACAAAATAGTTCCTTAGATTGATGAATTTCTAATGCACCAAACGTAAATATAAAAAATGTACTGTTAATTCTAATTACAATAATTAATAAATAATATGGTTAGATTACGTTGTGTTTTATTTTTTGCTGCTTAGATTGGGCAAGATCTGGTTAAAGTCGCTATTTTTTATCATAATATAGTATAGTTTGAATTTTTATAATTTATTTTATTTTTCATAATTCTGGTTTAATTCTAAAAAGCCTAACTTAGAACGCTTGTATATTTAAATTTTCACTGGTATTTTTTTTATCAGTAGCTGTAAAAACCGTTTGAACAGTTAGGAAGCGAGTAGGTCGCCCCCTCTAATCAAAATAATCGTGAGTGAGCAGTAGCACCATAATTTCCAAAAATTGTAAAGTGTCTACTTTTTTGGATAGATCGAAAGTACCTTTTTACCATTCCTGTCGAGGCTGACATAAGTCGTGTTGAAAATCAGCAGTCTCCGACTAGTTTAAAAAGTTTGGGATTTCCGCCGAAAAATTATGTAAGGAGGCCGTGCTGATATACAAAAAGTAAAATCCTTTTTAAATTAGTAAAAAAACATATAGAGGGGCCTACGTTGAGTTTTAATAGAAATAGTTGTTTTCAGTTTTAATTGCAAAAGGATTTAATATTTAAATTATTTACAATTCAGTTTTTTAAGCCAATTTCAATAATAAAGAAAAATAAAAAACTTTTCTTGGATTGTCTTTATTAATACGTATATGAACCGATACCGAAAGTAATTTTATTGCACATATTGTGGGCAAGTGGGGCTTTTTAATTTGAGATTTATTACCGAAATAAAATTTATTTGAATTAATAAGGAATATCTAGATCCACATACACTGTTTGAATGAGAGTCATTCAATGAACTACTACTAGGAGTCCAGGTTTTATCCGAGGATCGAGTTCAATACAAATTTTAATGTTTCTTCTACTTTTTTTTAAAATATGTGGTTTAAAAAAAACATAATACCAAAAAAGTCAGTTTTTATAAAACTTTCAAGGAAAAAACAACATCATATTATATATTTTTTGTAAAATGAATATTTCTGTCAAACACATACCTGGATTTTCCATAACTAAACTATAAATGGCTCTGGCGACTGCTTCTTCCGAAAGACTATCCCATAGGCCATCACAAGCTAACACTAGGAAATCTTCACCATCCAATGGAAGTATTTCAATATCAGGCACAGCAATAACAAAAGGCTTGTACTCAGGATCACCTAAAATATGTTAAATAATGTTACTTCGAAAATAATTTACAAATATTTTAGTTTTGACTTGATACACTGTAATTCTGTGTTTTTAGATACATTGTACAGATTTTAATAAATTAAGGAAAATATGAGGTGCAATTATTTTGAGGACTACCTAACGTGGTCTCGAGTTAGCAGAGCAAAGGGGCAAAATACCAACAAAAAAATCCTAGGGTCACCGAAAAAAGCGAAAAACCACCATAGTAAAGTGAAGCACCCCAATAGTTAGAGTCTAAAAATTTATATTTTCCTCATGTCTATGACAATCGAAAGCTAATAGAGGTAAAATGTATTTCTACTGGGTATATCTCGAAAATTTGTCTAAGGGGCATCACCATTATATCAGGTGTTTTGTTGTCGTTCAAATTATTGTTATCTATACAGAAGTATCCAAACATTACTGAACATAATAGTAAATAACGGGATTCCTTAGGTGATTTCATGAAGAATAGTTCATATAATGAGAAAAACGCAATTTCAGGTAAAATTGACCTTGCTAATTTATTTTATTTACTTATTTATTGAGGGGAAAACCACATTACATTGTTAACTACATTATTAAATATATTAAATTTCAACTATGAATGTATAATCAAAAACAAAACAAAAATATATTAACATGGAAAAATCTCAATGGCGTACCACTTTTTTTGTAAAAAAATATCAGATATGTTTGCTGGGACGCCACTTATGGAGCAATATAATAACTTTTCTAACTAAAATATGTGATTCTATACCTTATTAACACATACTAAAATTTAATATCATATCTGAACTACTTTCAGAGATATTAATAATTCTATAAAACAAATTCTTCATACCTTGTAACAAAAAATTTAAGCCGTTTCGGACTCGTATGAACTTTTTTTTTAAATTACCTATAATACCTAAAACACCCTAAAATATTAGTACGTCATTAAAGAACATCCTGTTCATATTCTATACCTTTCTTCGCATTACCACTGTACGCTCTTATACCAGGCAGTGCATAATAACGTATTCCAGTAGAAATGTGTGATTGCTAACTAGAGGGATATCAAATATACCGAAGTATCTTAATCTTTTATTTTACACTTTATGGAGATTAAAATCACTGCGGTTAGAAATAATAATAAATTCCACCTAATATAATGCTAAATATAACAATGGAAAATAAGTGTTAGGCGGGTCGAGCAGAGCGCGGTACCGCAACATGAACGAGTCTAATTTTAACTAGATTATTTATAAAATTGTGTTTTGGTAAAACATTACTGACATCTAGGCAACCAATATTACTTTCTTGTATTGTTAGTTGCATATGCATAACTTCACTTATTTCAGTGACAAACAAAATCATATTAATTTATATAAATAAAATTCCTAGGTTTATTCGGCCAACAGTTTTTATTTTTTATTGATGAAGCACTCCATATATTATGTTTCGGAAAAACCTTTTTCAATCTCCTGGTGTAGTCAATATGTTTATAAAAATATGGGGGACGAATGCAAACAGTTTAAAATTTTTAAAATAATAGAATCCCAATCTTTCTGTTTCACAGCATGTGAAGGTGTTTTCCAAAAATCGTATATATATATATATATATATATATATATATATAATTCATATAAAAAAAATCATATATAATTCATATAAAATTCTACTTTGTCAGAAAATTATCCTTATTCATATTAATTTATTCTCAACGACCTGTAGTATGTTTATATTGCATGTTAAAGTTATTTAATTTTCTAGAAGTGGGTTATTTTGTCGTGTATTGTGTTTTAATTATTTTGTGCTGATTTAGAATGGAAAATAAGGACCAAAACAACATTACTAGGTTGTATGTTTAACCAAATTCTATTTTGATAAGTCAACCTGCCCTTCTTTAATATAAACTTTCAAAAATAATGTATATTATTCATTTTAAAACCAAAAAGGTTTATTTTATTTTTTCGCAACTGGTAACTTAATGAACTTTTCGAAACCAATTTCATAATATTCAACATTATGCAACTGGTTAAGTAGATCATTTTGATACTTGGTGCGATTACAAAAAATGACACATTAAAATTAAAAAAATATATATTCTATCCTACACCAACGGAAAACTCAATTTTGACGTCTCTACGGAGACGTCAAACCTCATATTTTCTTGGCTATCCGGGCAGCAGATATTTTTTTCTTAACCATCCTCCCAAGGCAAAATAACTAGAAATGACTAGCCAGTAAAATAATCGCATTAATTTTCCGCTAGATGATGTACCACTTAATTGTGACAGTTAAATTATTTTTGTTGCATTTTTTATAAAGAATAGAAACTTGTTTATTATGCTACTTGTTATGTGTTTAGTGATATTTATCTATGATTGATGTAGAGTAGACAAAATTGTCAGTTTTCAAAATAAATTATAAAGATAGGTCATATGCCGCAACACACATTATACATACATGTTGTGTGTGTTGCCGTCATGTAGTTAATATATAAATACTTTCTGGTTGGTTTATAATATGAAATCTTCTAGTGAAGGTAAAGAATTTAGTTATTGGACACCACCAGATATTAATGAAAAAGCAAAAAAGTTGTTCTTGATTTATTACCAAAGAAGTCCAAAGAAAAATATAATTTTCAACACTAATTATTTATGAACTGGTGTAGAACAATGTGAAAAAATATAGTTAAAGTGTTATTTTACCGTATTTATCAGAATTATTAAAAAAATACAAACCCTCTACTTCATTCTTTGCTAAAAGCTACACTTTCGGTTAAAAATGATGTACGAAGTAGGAAATGTATCAGCAATTTAAGGGGAGTTTTCATAAAAAAAATTTCAATACGAGTCCTTTTTGACGAAAAAAATATTGTTATTTATTTTATTGGTTTTTTTTTCTTCAAAAAATAGTTGGACTTAGAAATCGTAATTTTGGTACACTAGTTTCACTAATCGAACCCTATAGTATGATAGTATCCCTTCTTTCAGTTTATGTTTCTGAAGTGTAGAGATTAACACCCTTTCTTTTTGAACTTTTTCCTTGAAATCCAATTCCAACTTTTTTTTTTCAAAACTGCTTGCAGTTTAGAAAATTTTTTTCACTCTGTGTTTTAATAAAATTTTTGTCATTAGTTACTGCGAAACGTATTAGGGGACTGTCATTTAAGACAGTGTTTTCTCATAAAAAAAAAATGTTATATGTAAATTACATCTAACCGTTTTCAAGAAAATATATTGACAGAGGTTCAAAAATGCAAAATTTTATAAGAAAATCCACCCCTTAAATAAATAGTGGGTGGAACACCGTGTTATGTATAGGGTACTAATACACTGCGACCTAAAATAACTATTGTGTTCCCTTCTATCGTTAATGCTGCATGGAAATAGTCTCGATGCCTATAACTACCCTTCCCATCCCATCTTCTCAAGGAAATGTAGGATTTGGAGTGGCTACAAGTTAGGTAAATTGCCCTCTCTTATTTGCTATGCTCCATAGTCCCCTTGGATTCTGAAGTGCTACACAATCAGTCAAAATATGAATGGAGGTTCCGTTCTCCTCCTCACAGAATCTACATTCACTATCTTCTACTAGTCTAAGTTTATTAAGGTGTCCTTTGAGTCAATAATTTTATAAGAAAATGTCCCCTTAAATAGTTGCAGAACACCCTGTTAAAATATTGGAACATCATTATAAAACTTCCTATAAATCATTGCAGTAAGTATTTTGGTAGTACATCACTTTTATTATATGTATGTCCAAAATGTATTAGGACTCACTTTTCGAATTCTTAGGTAAAAAAAATAAATAATTTTAAATTATATACCTATTATGCATTTCAATATTTCAAATATAGGACTTATTTCTTACCTATCGCTCGAGACACTGCTAATTGACCGTTGACTCTCCATGTTCCCCACTTTATAACGCAACCACCTCGTTTCTCTATACGCTCCCTTTCATCCTAAAATTTAAAATTTACATTTACAATCGATTTGTAATTTCGATGCTGATGTACATTGTATTAAAATTTATGAACCTGATAAACATTGACAGGTGATTAAACTGCTAGTAATTTAATTTTTTTTTTTAGTTAATGTCATTTAGATAGATCACATTCTTAAGTTTTATCAAAGTTTGTCAGGCTCATAAATTATAATGAATAAAACATATTTCAATTATTATAAATGTTGATTATATGAGAAGTTATACAAAGGACTAAGATGTTAATAGTCAAGCTAATATCAGAATAAGTCAAAGAAAAGTTGGATTTCAAACAAGACAATCCATTGTTACCCATGTTATCTAATATTGTACAAAAAGAGTTAAACGGAAATTAATATGCATTTTTTTGGAAATGTACAAATGTAATCCCAATGCTTCTATCTGGAATCGAACCTGGAACATCTGAGTACAGCCCTCGGTGCCAATTAGACTACCCCCGACCCTGTGGAACCTTTACTATGATGGAGTGTTGAGACTACCAGTTCACCGAGGAGTTAAGCTTATTGCATACGCCGATGATCTCGGGATACTAGTAACAGACAAAAATGCCACTCAGATGGAAGCAAAGGCCAACGAAGTACTGACGAAGGTGACTGAATGGATGGACAACAACAAAATTAAAGCTCGCACCATATAAAACGGGGGCAGTGCTACTTGCGGGGGGGCGAAAAACAAAGAGTGCTAAGGTAACGGCATAGGGAGTTACGATAAATACTAAGGAATCCATCAAATGTCTTGGAGTACATTCAGAGGCGGCTTGTGACCAAAATTTTGGGGGTTCGCAGTAGCAGAATATAGATTCCGGTAGAGATATAGGTAAAAAACTGTTAGTGTTTTAGAAAGGTATAATTATAAACTTTCTAAAACACTGAAAGTTTTTATCATACATCTGTTGTACTGATACCTATATTCTGTCACTGTGAACCACCCCACGAGCCGCCACTGAGTACATTTAAACAGGAATATGACAATGAGTACACATATACAAAAGACCGCTGAAAAAGCATGTAAGGCGATAGTAAACCTCCAAAGGCTTATGCCTTTGGAGAAAACAGCAGAAGGATCCTATTTTACGTTGTACAATCCATCATACTATACGGAGCCACAATATGGAAAAAAGTCATGAGGAAACAGTTATACAGGGGCATGTTCATAAAAGTCCAACGTAGAGTAGCAATCAGCATAACAAGTACATATAGGATAACATCTACAAAAGCCCTGTTGGTATTAGCCAGAACACCTCCATTGGATATACTAGCTGAAGAACGGGAACTTATACACGGATAGAATAGTGACAAAACAAATTATACTGGAAAAATGGCAAGAGAAATGGAAAAAAGAGGAAGGGACTGCAGAATGGACCTAAAGACTAATACCAGACCTAAACCCCTGGAACGACAAAAATCATGGTGAAGTTGATTTTTATATAACTCAACTTCTGACGGGACATGGAACCTTCCAATCCTACCTGTTGCAATGACATGGCCTGATCAAAAATTAGAATAATAATAGTATAATAAAAAAATGTGATTAGTGTGATATGGTATATGTGGTGCCAAGTGTTTGAGTTGACATATTCTGCTAGGAACAGATTCACTTAGATGCAGGAACTGGATCGAACATACATACTTGATATTAATTTTGCAAATTAAAGTAGAACCTCGGAGTCATGATTTATTGTTAAGTTGGTAAAAACAAAAGTAAAAAGCCAATCTGTCATCAATGTCAAAATAAAAACGATTCAGACGTTCTATTTATCTAGAAATATAAACTGTAGGTTAAGTTAAGGTTATTGTAAATTGTTCGAAAGAGGTGACTTTGAAATGAAATAAAACAAAAAAGTGGTTGCCTAAAAACTAAAATAAAAAGTTACAAATATGTTGGTGCTGCGATAACTTCTCAAGAAATTCAGTTTATGTTGAGCAGACGACAATACTACTACATACAGTTAAAATTTATTCATTTTAAACAAGCCTGTGATAAAAATAGGACATTGTCGAATTATCCAGGGTAACTTTCAATTAATCTAATTAAAAGTTAAAAGAGAAATCAGCATTTATAAAACAGATTGTAATTTATTTCTATAGTTCCATTTTTGGATAAATTTTTGGAATCACAATTTACGTCTTCGGAATTAGTCAGAAGTACGAGTACGGTTAATCATTTGGGAAATAACTGTAAAAATCAGGAATAAGTAGAACCTATGGGGAAACAAATCTGATAGTCCGAATTGGATCTCTATTTCAAGTTCACGTGTCACAATTAAGTCAAGTCACCTCTATCGCCGATAAAACCTAAGGGAACCGCAGGCCGAACGTCCTACAATTTCTCACTGGAACCCATCTAGGGCATTCAGCTACATCCTATGAATCTTAGGGGGCGTCCATTAATTACGTGAGGTATTTTTGAGGATTTTTTTACTCCCCCTCCCCCCCTGGCGAGATTTGGTAAGATTTTCCTTAACTCCCTCCCCCCTTCCCTAATCTCGCGTGAGATTTTTCAAAATTCGTGTTTTGGGTGTAAATGTGTTGTATTATTAAAAAAAAAAAAAACAAAAACACAATATGTTCCATTACTTTTATTTAAGACTAGCAAAGACTAGTGTTTGAGAGTGTTGCAATTATTTAAAATCACATTAATAAAATTAAATGATAAATACTTAAATGGAAATTAATAAAAAATAAATAAACATAATTATAAGATTTTTCCATATTTTATTCTAGAAATACTTTTACTTTCACGCAATTTTACACCGTTTTTTACTAGAAAAAATATTACGTGAGATTTACGAAAAGCCCCCCTCCCCCCCAAGTGAGATTTAGAAAGATTTAGTTTTATCCCCTCCCCCCCTTGAACACCTCACGTAATTAATGGATGCCCCCTTATGGATTAAGACTACGTCTTCGAGAGTTCGAGACCCAGGAGTCGGTGTCTAAATAGAAATAAGTACAAGTACAAGTAGTTTACTTATCATTATTGCATATAATATTACTCGTCATAAATCCATTTATTCATTTATTTTTAACCGACTTCAAAAAAGGAGGAGGTTATCAATTCGTCGCGATATTTTATGATTTGTTGCTTATACCTTGCTACCATTGCAGAATTTATTTATACACTTACAAAGATTTGGGCTTTTTATAATTGATTTGTACAAGAAAAAAATATTCTAATAAACAATTTCTGAAAATTAAGAACATATAATATTTTATTAATCGCCTTTGGATGCGGAGTCAAGTTATTTGCTTGTTACACTGTTTAGCTTCAAACTTGCTGACACGGACGAATGCTTATACTTTATACTGTAGATAAGTTGATAAAGTAGAACATACATTTTTTAAATGTGTAAGATGGGAAGATGGTCGACAAGCCACTGAAAACAAATTGAGAAGAATAACACCGGACAACATAATTAATAAGATCCTACAGAGCAACGAGAACTGGAATAAGAACTATTCAGCAAAAATCCTGTCAACAAAAAGAAAAGACATGAATAGAACAGAATAAAATAAAATGGGAAGAATATGCATAACATCTAGCTCCGCCGACCTATTTGAAGTAATACCCGACGGCAGTTCCAAATAGGTTCATTCTTAGGAAATGGGATGGTTTTAGTGGGTATACCGGCCTTGCACCCTTCAGCCGGAAGTCCCACACTACCAGGTACGGGCAGAACCATATGCCTGGTGTCCGTAATGGATTCCCACCCTACCAGAAAAAAAACAATTGGACTACCGAAGCACCTAGAGCTACGACAGTGGAATTAGTGGATTTGAAGTCATCATATTCCGACTCTCGCCGGCACACACACATTCTCCTCCCCCCTCCCAGCACTCTCAATTCACCTTAAAGCCACCCTTGCAACATCGTATAGATGGACGTCAAGCTTAGCTTATACTATAAATAAATTATAAATTCATATATTTTTATATTTATAAATCATTAGGTGATTACACTGTAGACCACGATTTTTTCTTTTTGCTTTTCTTTGGGCTTCTAAATAGATAAAAAAGCATCAGTCTAATTTGCATATTATATAGTATTAATTAGAGAAGCAACCGGGCAATTAGAAAAACTATGATACCAAAAGAAAAATAGTAGGACAGATAATAAATTAAAATAAAACCATGGACAGAAGATAAGTTTTCAAGAGGTTAAAACATTATGTAACAATTGAAGATAATAAGAGATGGTAGAAGAAACTACTTAAAATACCTTATATAAAAAGAGGAAATTCACAACAGTCGACAGAATATTGTATTATAAAAGTAATTTTTAAAAACAGACTTCAAAATCGTGCAGATGCCATTACAAATTGAGTTTGCTGAGTTTATTGTAGATCCCATCGTCAGATCTTTATTAAATATATATGGGCTCACCCCTGAGGGTGATAAAAAAAGAATCATAGAAATCGGACAACGTGATGTCGGTTCAAAATATATCAAAAAGTATTCATAGAACTGTTATTAGACCCATATTATTAGTTGGTAGTGAAGTTTGGAGCTTAAGATTGCAAATATATTTGAAAGTAAACAAGTAAGGAGAATATGAACAACAGGTGTCATATCTGTATTAAACCAAATATTACAGAAGTTATATAAGTACAGCTATTTCGGAGCATGGAATGTATAGAAAAAATGGAATATGAAAGATTCTAGAATAGTGGTGACAGAATAGAACAAAAAAGAGTGATATAGATGGACAAAAGAAATGGGTGAAAAGAAAGGGTAAAAGATGATGGAAAACAATTTTAGATCAAGCAATGGACCTAGTAGGTTCGCAGAACTATGATATAATGGTGTAATGTTTAAAAGAATAACTATTTACCTTCGAACATAGTATGTCTTGTCTTAGTGACCAAAAATTCTAGAATTCACGTACGCCTTACTGCTGCAATCTATGAAATCTTTTATGTATAATTCTATTATTGACAAAGAAATTGAAAGATTTGTAGGCTAGATTGTGGTTTCTAACACTAGGTGAAGAAAATCCAGAAGCATTAACTACATGCGAGAGCCACTGTAAATATTAAGTCTAATAAAAAGAACCAGCTAGACTACATACTCTAAATAACAATGTCCTAAAATAGATCTGAAAAGGTTGCAGCAGACAAGTGCACATAATGTCCAACTCCTTTCAAATCTAATCTTAAGCTTTGTTAGATTTTTTTAATGAATGACATCAGATAAGCAAGTCTATTTAAAAGTGAAGAAATATTTGAGTGGAAGTGGGAAGAAAATTTTATTTAAATTCTTCTAGAATAAGGTGGTATGTTCAACATGTTTATTATAATCGCATAAAATATTATTAATATCTGCTGCAGCGCCAGCGTTTACATTGCATTCAAAATTAAAATTGTATATAAATGCGCAGGGAATCGGCAAAGGTTAAATTTCAAATGAGTAATTATGGTTAGATTTAGAGTTGCAAATAATATATAGTTACTATTCGTGAACTTACCATTCTACAGGGTTTGTGGGGATTCACAAGTTGTAATGCCCTGTCTCTATTAACTAATAAAGCTTGAGAATCGCCAGCCCAGGCGACATAACACGTTTTTTCTTTAGGACGTAACAATGCAACAACAGCAGTAGTACCACTGCTTAAGTGCTAAAATACAGAAAAGAAAAAAACATTTTAAAGTTTAGAATTATTATGAATTTAAGGAGCATTGTGTGATTTATAAAAAATCGTATAAAGTGTAGGAAAGACATATATATCACTAGAAATATTGTTAGGGGCAGCTGTGTCAAAAAAAGCTAAATTTTGTTTGTTAATTAGCTATCAAACATGCGAATTTAACTAATAATCACAGTTAATTATGTTTTTTACCACGTAAGGTATTCAGAATGCTGAAATTATACAACATTTATTTTTAAATATTAGATTATGAGATTGAAGAAAAAATGTTTAGAAAATAATAAACAATAAATTGTGAATGTGGATAACATAAGCCACAAAAAATAATTTGTGTTATTTTTATCAAAAGTGTATCAGGAGTTTATTAGGAAGCTTGGATAGGCAGCAAACCAGTGCTTGTTGCATTAAGAACTTTATTTTATGTGATTTTAAAACGTATACACTTGATACTTTAATACTCTGAATTGTCTGGAAGTTTATACATACTTGTTTCTGATCGATTAATACTTGTTATATAAGTGAACTCCAAGTACTTTCTCTTGTAATCACAAGTAGTTCTATTGTCGGCCCACTTAAAAAATAAACCTAATAACTATGTAGCTTTATTTACTTTATACAAACACAACTTGCATGAATAATAAAATTTTAAAAATTGTTATTGTGAGAAATATTTTTTATGTTTTAAATATAAGTTTGCCCTCTGAAAACATGGACAATATTTGAGTAAAGGCCGATCTTTTTACCTCTGAGTAAAGTTACACGCAGGTTTACTTGATAGATTAGCAAACAATAGCCTATAGTTTAATCAGCAAGTAGTTACTTTCAATTTTACTCAAATGTGAAAGGACTGGCACTAAATATAATAAGTTTAATATGAACAATAGTAATTAAATCTAAAAATTTCAGGGTTTTGAGGGTTAATATTATCCCAAAAAAGTACTTTGCAAATGATTTAAATGCTAAAAACATACTATTTAACTTAAAATACTTAAAGGAGTGAAAGTTGCGTTGATTGACTTAGAGCATTTAATATTTACTTGCTAATAAAACCGTTGTTGTACCTTATAAAGGGTCCATGAATTATTTATACTTACTTCAACTTTACACTTATCGATAAATAAAGCGTCTGTTTTACAAAAGGCATCTAGCAAGGCTTGTTTGGGATTAGAAACAAAATATTTATTTTCGGCAAGGAATTGATGTAGATGAGCTGCGCTGTATGCAGCAGCGTCGTGGCCTGCATGGCCATCAAAAATTGCATAATAACTGGACGGACTTGCTTCCTAAAAAATAAATAAAAACATAATATTACATAAGTTAATTAGACTCACTTTAATTGAATAAACATATAATATAATTAAGATTTCAGAAAATAGACAATTTTTATTCAAGTTTTTACATTTCAAACTTTATTGATTGACTTTTAAAATTTCAACATAATTATGTTAGCAGAGAAAAATTTATAAATAATATTTTGATTATTAGTAATACCAATCGGTGGATAAGTTTGGTTTGATGGAAAACTTAAATATTTAAGGAAACTGCTTTTTACCGACTCTAGTAGATAAATGTGTATTTGTTAGTAACGACCCCAAACAAACGAGGCATATCCAAGTTAAGATCGAACAGATGGAAAATACAATGATTTAAAAGTATCTATATTTTTTTATAGCAAGACCAATCATCGCTTATGGGCTGTAGCCTGGAGTAACAGAACTAGTTTAGCTACTACGAGAGCTAATATCTCAAAAATACAAAGACTAGCCTGTGTTTGCAACACCGCAATGGAGGTTAATTTAAACCATATCCCTCTACATTTCATGATAGAGAACGTGGTAAATAAGACAAGTTTTAGAATGGCCAGAAACGGAGTAATCACATGAAAGTCTATTAGCTTCAGGACCGAACGTACTTGGGATGTGTTCCAGGCAAAATGAGAAAGAAGTACAGTTTTGTGAAAAAATTCAAAACCACATAGCAAGAAAGAATGGAGACAAGAATCCATCGAGCTTGCAACCGAAAGAGATGCCATTCAGTGATATACGGATGGTTCCAAAACCATAGGAGTTTATATGCCTAGAATCACGCCCTCTGAAAGTTTCGGTAAATACCCAAACATCTTCTAGGCGGAAATTCACGCCATTGAGAAATGTATCCAGTTCAACATAGAGAGAAACTATTGTTGACAAGAGATTATGATCAATCTGATAGCTAAGCAGCCATCAAAGCACTGAGCTCTTACATAATCAGCTCAAAAATAGTCTGGAGATGTCTAGAAAAAATTAAGGAGGTAGGCGAGGAAATACAGTTACTCTCATTTGGGTTTCGGGACATAACGGGGTAAAGGATAAAGAGATTGCAGATAGCCTTACAGGAAAAGGGGCTCAAACACATTTTGTGGAACCTGAGCCGTTCTGCGGCATCAGCAGTAACACAATATTAGGAGAGATTAAAAAAGAAATGGACAGCAGAAGAACCGATAATTGGAATACTCTCTCTTGGGGTTAAGACAGGCTAAAGTACTTCTGGGTGAATATAACCAGAAAAGACCGTATAAGCCTGAGTAAGAACAGGCCAAGCAATGTAAAAAGGATCCGTACCGAGTATTGAAGACTCAAGGGAACCCTTAGTAAACTGATAATAGTAGAAGAAGTTATTGAGTGCAGATTTTGTGAGGAGTAGGATGAATATCACTCCAGAATCCAAGGGTACTATACTTAGAAGCATACCCAACTTGAAGCCACTCCAAATCCTACGCTGCCTTGAGAAGATAGGGTTGAAAGGGCATTAATACCCCATACCCAACATAACAAAATCTGTTATTTTAAAATCGCAATACACTCGCACTATGAATCCGTACATGAGGCTTTCATCCAAATAAATTGAGATTGGAAGGTTTCAATTTATTTGAATGATAGCTGGTTAAACTTGATTTGTAATAATTGTTTATGAGGTTTTCATCCAAATAAATTGAGATTGGAAGGTTTCAATTTACGGTTCGATGCTGTTGAAATGGTTTTCTGTGTGTTCTTTAAACGCCAGTACTGGGTCAAATTTAACCCCTAAATTCATAAAAAATTGAGGTCTAGAAAATAAATCTCCATTAAGGTCATAATTTAATAATATTGTGATAATTGTAATTAACGTGTATGACATTACGTTACATTTTGCTGGATTCAGTGTTAAACCATTTTTTTTGCACCATTCAAAAACTTTGTTATATTTTCAATTTTTATAGTGTCGCCAATATCGTTGAGAAAAATATTAAATAACAGCAGACCCAATTTTAAATCATGCAATATACCAGAGGTGGCATAATCTATTTAATTGAGAGAAATACAATCGAAACTATTAGAAACAGCACATATACAACAGAGTTTCTGTATCATAATATCAAAAGCTTTTATTATATCCATGTAATTGACTTCAGTTTGGATCGATTATCAATATTTTCAGTTATTTGCAGTGAAATCACAGAAGGGTCCAGATTAAAACCCTGGTGAACCCCAGATGTTGCATCAAATTCAACAGCCTAAAACCAATTAAGCTGGACAAATTAAGCCCGATTTACTAAATAGGGCAGAAATATATTTATTAAAGATGGGGAGAATCATAGAAAAATAAAAAGGGGATAAACCAAGGTTTTGAAGTAAAATTGACAAGATAATCTAAATGACATAAATCCAGAATATTAAGAAAACTGATAATTTAATTCATCTTACCTGAATACTAAACGTGGTATTTAAATCATGTACAATAACATGTCTGTCCTCCATTCGTCTTCGTGTATTTTTGATTGCGCACACACTTGTCAAACAAAATGGAGATCCCGCATCGGGAGAAGGCAGTGAGCAAAGCATGCTATTGTCCAAATATCTTAGGCAAACTTCATTTGTTTTGGCCATCACAGTCTGCATCAATCTTAGGGGTTCATAAGCTAAAAATTATAATATAAATTAGTGTTTTTCACGCAGATTCAAGCTCAGAATCAAAATATTCATCAAGGTATTATGTACCTGCTGGTGCTTGGTACAATCAAATAAGATATAAATTGGTCTAATTTTAATAAAGTAGCAGTTATAACTGGCATGTCATTTTTGAATTTACGGGAAAATGTTTATTACTGCAATCCTAAGAGTAATGAAATAGTATAAGAAATGCAAGACTTCATTTTATGGAAAGTTTTAAAATAAAAAGGCCGAACGTTTATTTCTTTTTACCACTAACTGAACCTAGAAATATCTTGAGCGTTAACAGACTGACTACAAAAAATACCTATATATAAATTTTCTTTTGTTACTTTTACAATTCACTGATTTTACAGGAATCCCATTTGGGCTTTTACTAATTTTGATCTTCTCAAAGACCATTTACTTCTTCGCTTGCTGATAAAATTTACCTATTTCTAATATTCTTATTCTTTACAAGGACCCTATCTACTCCATCTTTAATGTAATTAACCTGGGCAAGATACCTACTTTTATTCGTTCTACCATCCTCTTTATTTACTAAATTATACAAAATTTCATAAAAATCTGTTTAATTTTTTGCCTCCTTGTGCTGTTCAATACAACCGGTGTAGTGGAGTTCTGCCACTTTTGACAGCCCATATGACCACCACGTTTCCTTATCTACAATTTTTTTACCAATTTTAGCTTTTCCAATATGACCAGATTAGGTAAGTAACTTCCTAGAATGATCCTCTAAATTTCAGGGAATTAACTACCTTTCATAAAGCCAAGCTGTTCTAATCCTACTTGAAGAACATACATAGGTACTAATAATATTTATGATTTTAATTTCCAAAATAATTTTAATTGACATTAGCCTATCGTTTACTCTGTGGATCGCTAATAGTTTTTCCTCGAGGCCCTAATCTATTACTACCTACCACTTGTCTGCATAATATTTCCTGTCTCTACGATCTTATTCTATTAACTACCGAGATAGAATAAAGTATAGATGACATAAACACTATTTTACGATATGACAGATGGCCGCACTTCGAATAATGGAAAAGTGTAATGAAAATGGCGACTTGAGTCCTACCTACTTTGACTTATTTGAAGTAAATTATTTTATATTTGAGAATGACCGAATTCAAACGATATTATATCATTTATATAAAACTATTTAAAAAAATAACATTTATTCTCAACAAAACTGACTAACTCTATCTAGAGTTTGACATATGACGTAAAAGTGTAATGCAAAGGTGCGGACACTTTAGAATCGTCATAGCATCTACTCTTTATTCTAACTCAATGCTATCAAGAAACCAATTGATGCCTCTGCCTCCTACAATTTTTCAAGCCTCTACAAGAATTCCACCGGAACCTATTTTTACACCATTGTCTTTTTACGCCTTTTAAAATTCTTCATTGCTGGTAGAATTTATTGGTTACAAATATCTGCCTATATAAGAAATCCTGTTAAAGAAAAAGCAGAGATCGTATCATAGTTAATACATTTAATCCGGACAAAATAAGTAACTGTTATAGAGATAAAAAATATTATACTTTTACCTAACTTTTAAACCAGCCCACGTATATGTAAAGTTGACCTTTCATTTAATTCGGCAGTATTAAACGTTTAAATCACAATTCCTCTATTTTAATCTACATAACCTACCCATTTTACAATATGTATTCTAAAAATAAATCAGTGATAATTAAAGCAATAATAATAGAAGCAAACACAGGTACATTGCTCAATCTCCAATTTCATTGAAATAAGCGGTAGTATTATTGCGATCAAATATAAGAATCATGGTATAGTAGGTATAAAATGTTTTAGCATAAGTCAACTACTTTGAATGTTGTACTTTATTATTACATATCTTATTAAATTATGTAGGAATCATTTGGGAAACTAAAAATACTCTGCAAAACTGGATACCTGTCCCAAAGGATATTAGACCTTTTTAGTAGACAAAATGCATCCTAGATAGGGTTACCAGACGTCACCACTTGTTGTCACGCGCCACGCCAAAGTACTCAAATACCCCACTTTAGAAAAATCAAACTTTTTTAATTGTTTTTTTTTTTATTTTTTTTTTTTGTATAATATGAAACCTTGATGAACTTTTGAAGAGGCGAGAAAAATCATTTCATCCCCCGTCGTCGCCGCCACACTTTTCCCTCTGGCAACCCTAATCCTAGACTAAAAATAAGCATAAAGATGCCGCTTTCACAAATCGATTTTTATGATTTAAAAGTTGTGTTTCATGTTAATTCAATTTTTTTCTATGAGCCTAAGTGATCCGAGAAATAAAAACTGGTATGGAACATAAAATAACAACAACCAAAAAAATATTTTAGTACTGTACAGCTGGAACAAAATGTTTGAATGAGTAAAATCGATTATAAATTGTTCAGTTATATTCACTGTTAAAATGGGTTGATATTCTTTGAGAGGAGAACAACTTTATTTGACAAAATAAACATAAACTCCTTCTGGTAGGGCTACAAAATTTTCGTCTCGGAATAAAAAGTGCTTCAGTCTCTTGGTATATACTACTATTATCCACTTAAGCATGTTTGGATTTACCGAGTAGAATATGAACTCTCCCTTCCAAAATTTCTCGTTTTTCGTAAATTTCATTTTTAGCCCATCTTCATACATAAAAGTTCAGTGGCGAAAGATCTGGTGATCTTGTAGGCCACGCCACCGGTCCATTGTTTAAAATAATGCGATTTCCTAATACTTGTGATAAAAATAATTCCAACGTCCCTTGTAGGTATTATGTGCTGTACAACCGTCCTGCTGAGACCACAGTCTTCAAAAATCGGCTTCGCCTGGTACCAATTGATTCAATGCAGGCATTACTTAATATCTAGTAGGTTTAGATATCATTGTCCATTAAGATTATCATCATAAATAAATGGGCCAATTAAATTGCTACCTAAAAATTAAGTGGTTTTCTCATTATTATATTCACAAAAAAAATCACATTTACAGTTCAGGGTAAATAACTTTACCGATTTTTTGTTATTAAGTCTTCTTAACTTTTCCAATAAGTGAGGATCTGTACTCCAATAGTGTCGGTTATGTCTATTAAATAACCGCAGTTCGTATCCGGGTCTCAATCTGTCCAGACAGCATAGAAAAATCTGGTTCGTCAGTGCATTTTTGAATGTACCATTCACAAAATTGCATTATCCTACGCTAGTTATTCTCATAAAGTCCTTGCACAATGACAGTGGGCTTGTATGGATAGTACCTACTTGTTTTTCTTCATAATCATATGTACCATTGTTATAGCTATATGGGATTTTGTTCCTATACATCTACCATCTAACTCGGTGTTGTTCTTATTGTAATTAACTCGGTATTGTACGAAAACACCAAAGTTAATTAAATTCATAACTATTTTTCTATAACGGGTTGTATGTGGTTAATGTCTTCAAATACTTAGCAGACGCCGTTTCAGCATATTGGTTTTTAATAGAACCATTTTTAAAAAACGTTTCATCAAACTCGAGATCAAACTATTTAAACCACTTTTTATAATATTTAATGAAGATGACATATATATCTGTCAAACAATTCATTTGTTTTAATCATGGCCTACCATGCAAAAATGCCTGAAATATTCATTCTTCCGATTTCCGAATAATAAAATAATAATGTAATACCAAGTAATATTAGATTTGTTCCAACAGTAGTACAGAATCGTTCTAAATGTATCTATACAAGAGTAGTACGATTTAACTGTTCTGTTTTTCGTACTACTCGTGCGCAGATAAATTCAGAACGGTTCTGTACTGGTGTTGGAACAAACCTTTAATTTGAGATTGACAATATTAAAAAGTTTAAGTTTTCGTTTAAAAATTGCTTAAAAGATCCTCTTACTATAAAAACCAATGCATATTAGTGTACCACATGCTATTTTAGATCGGCCCGATGTTGCCAAATTAACAAAAATATTAAATTTTTATTAATTTATGGGTATTTTTAAAAATTTGGATGGCCTGTGGCACATCGTTTAAAAGGTAATTTAGAAGGTAATAATATTGTGTAAAAATCCAAGATGATTGCCACAAGAGATACAAAATTTACCGTAGGTAACTCGAAACAAAAAAAAAACTACTCTTTATTAAAAAGTGTATCAATAATGTAACACTTCGAAATATGACAAATTAACTGTTAAGCTACCATTAAAACAAAACAAAATGGGGCGGGCATTTTCAATATTTTTTTTAACTTTGTCATAGGACAGTCAGTTGACCCTGATTTTATACGAAAACAGCTGTTTCTCGGCTGTCAGCACCTTTTAACGTAACAAATAACACTTGTTTTAGCTCTGTAGATACCCTAATTACACCTAAAACACACACATACATTCATTATGTTACATAGTGGCGGGTCTGGATTCTCAAGGAAGGTACGTCGCGAACTTCAGTTGGAGAAAGGGAGAAGCTAGTTATCGCGCAGAACTAAAAATCGAAAAGAGTTTGAAGCTAACATGTGCATGTAACAAGTGTTTCGCAGCTTTTTCTACAGTAACTTCCTAGATGGCTAGTTTTCTGTTCGGGTTTTTCAATGAAAGTTTCTTTCGTCCCGGTTAGCTAATTTTAGCAGACAGTTGCATGAAAGTTAAGTATACACAGAAACTATTTTTGCTAAGAATCAGGGCTGTTGAGGACATATACCTCCACTCCCCCGAGTTCTTAGGAATACTTCTCTCTTTTACGCCGCACAGGATTAACCCGGTGAGTTCTTTTTGGCTGAGTGTGGACAGGTACATACACGCTCGCTTATATTTTTATTTTATTTAAAAATATTGTGCACTGTATCACTTTCAGCTATGTTATCAAACTAGACGTCTCTAGCGCAGGGCAGACTTGAACTTCTCAGCTCAACGTTTACTACGTAAATTCACCAGTGTGTCAACGGAGATTCTGTTGTGGGATTTTCAACCCACTGTCACACAGCAGCTCACTCCCTAACACAAAGATACATTTTCAGGGAAATGATGATTTGTTCCCTCGTCCTACATTGACGAACAATAGAAGTTCTGAGCAGACATCACTGAACCTACATTTTTTCAAACGATTTAGTAAGTTTTTTTTTTTTTAATATAAAAGTAGTAAAGTAATGTGTAATAATCCAAATTCATGTAACAATTTAAATAATATTCATGTTCTGGCACTTCCTGCTTTAGATTCGGGTGTATCATCTTCTAACCACAGTCCCAGATACAAACCCCTTTACCGTGGAGAGTCAAGAGAGCCGCGAATCGGCCTCGAGAAAAATATTTTTATTGCTCTCCGATTTCAACCGACCTTCTTGAGGAACAGAGCGTATTCGATTTTGGGAATTCTCACTCGCCATTGCTGAAACGATATACAGCGTTGGGCCGAGAATACCCATATCGAGGAGTAAAGTTAAGGTCGTAGCAAAAGTGTCCTCTTCAGGGGGCGATTCATCCCCTCTCACCGTCTCAAATATGTAGGAACATGGATTGTCACTGCTCAAAAAAATTGTAATTCCCCCTAAGGCCAGGAAGTATTTCTTCCCATCTAAACTTCTGACGTTATGTAAGGTCCAAATATCACCTATTATCGAATTCCATTCACATATTTGGTGAGTCATAGCACCAACATCGCTTAATTCACGAGTCCAATCTCTTCTCGGTCATAGACGTAGAGTCGGCGAGCTGTTACTGTCCCATAGATAATTTCTTGTATTATCACTCTACTAACAGAACAGCTCTAATGACAGTCGTATTCCGTTCGGCTTCTAGACATCTAGAAGGGACAGATATGAGCGTTCCTTCAAACCTAGAATGGCTAGATTTTTCCTAAACAACTCTTTCCATATTACCTGTAGCGGTCACACCGATGTACAGGCTTAACCAGTGTATCACTCCAAATATAAAATAGGGCCAATCTGACCCGATACTATTCGCTGACTGTATCAACAAAGAAAGTATGAATACCTGTGTGGTCCATAAGGTTTTAGAGATGTAGATGCTTGGATTCAAAGACCACCTCTTACTGAACACATTTTATTTTACACCGAATAAAAATCAGTTTGATTTAACACTAATACATTGTTGACAACTAAAGAACTTTTTACATTAGTTACAATAACATAATTTCTCGGAAATTTATTATTTAAACCGAGTTGAAATTCATTTTGTACAATGGCGGGCACAGCGTCCCTTTTTACTGTTAGAAACACATGTTGTTTGTTTGACTGGTCTTCACGCAGTAACGCCGAATGCCGATGAAGCCGCCATGCGAGCTTGAGGCTCACGTAGTAATTTTTAACCAATGAGGAGTGACTGACGCGCAACTCATCTGTTAGAGAACTTCCTTATCGGCTGAGATAGTACAGCCTACAGGGGCGGCTGTAGGAATTAATATTGTTCTGAAATTAGTAATACTGAATGTAACGTTGAATGTATTTCAACATTACCTAAATATACAATCCTTTAAAACCAGCATCATTAAACTATATTTTGCTTCCCCAAACGTTAATCTATAAAAATCCTTCAGTATTATGCACTGAAGTGTTAACCCATATATAGGCAAGCTTTTCTTTAGCCAGCCAGAAAATTTTTTACTGCTTCTTTTGTTTAATGAACTAGAAGGTCATGTGCTTTTATCACGATGAATTGGTTTGATACTCACCTAAATTTACGAAAACTTAAATATTTATATATTCACTCACTATCTAATTATCTGAATTGGCAATAAATTATTTACGTTAGGGTTTCACCATTAATATGTCCAGCAGCTATTTCTTTACGTTTCTATCGTTCTTAGTATAGAAAAAAGATTTCAATAATTGATTTTTATTTAATTTTGTCGTGCTAGGACCGTGTACGGTAACGTCACTAAGAATTCAATGACACGACATGTTATTCTTATATTAAAATAAATTTTCTAAATAATGTTTATCATGTTTAATCATTGTTTCTTTATTAACTACATATTTATATAGATTTTTGATAGTTTTTGATTTACCTAATAATAGGTAGCTGCAAAATGGAGAGGAAAAAATTATTATTAATACATGGTTTTACGACAAAATGCTTAAAAAAATTAGTTTAGCATAATTTTTAAATGTAAAAAATCAAGAAATTGAAATCATTTTGATTTGAAAATTTGAATTTTCTAAAATAATAAATAATTATTGTTCTTTCTTATTTGTTATTAGTGTTGTCAATAGCTGAAATCGAAAAATCTACCTTCCCACTAAAAATTATCAGATTTTGTTCAATATTTTTATAGTAATATTTACATTAATATATGAGGCACATGGTAAATACTAATTTAGGCAAAACCATATTTTTTGTGTTCCTAAGAGAAAATTTTAATATTGCCAGAATTTATGTTATTTTAAGTGCATTACCTACTTATTTGTTTACTTATAAATTTGTAATTTTGAAATTCATTGTTTATTATTTATTGAACATACAAATTTTGAGATAAAATAAACCCGTGTCGAACTTTGCCTGAGACCGGACCTGTTTTTTTTGCCGATACTGCATAGTGACGGCTGGCAACGCCGCGTTTCATCATAAGACTTCACACTGCATTCTCAGTGTCTCACACATACTACTATCGTCTTTGATGTATTGAGACAATCTTATTTAGTGATTTTTTTGGAGCAACTTCTACGGCAGCGTAAAAGGGCCATATTTTTTTATTTTAAAATTATGTGTTCGAACACGGAGTTCTTTGTTGGTACACGGAATTTCGTGTTCAAACACGGAATTCCGTATTCAAACACGGAATTCCTTGTTCGTACACGGAATTCTTTGTTTGAACACGGAATTTTATATTTCCGTGTTCCATCAAGGAATTCCGTGTTTGAATACGGAATTCCGTGTTTGAACTATGAATTTTCGTGTTTTAACAAGGAATTACAGATTTTCCTCTTCGTACAGAGAATTCCGTATTCAAACACGGAAATTAATAATTCCGTGTTCAAACGCGGAATTCTATATTCGAGCTATATCTTTAAATGGCATATTTACAGGATGCTCTTGGACGACGTGGAAAATTCGGGGTGGGGGAGGGGGAAATACGGATGCTCTGAAAATCCTCATAATATGATCCCAAATACTCTACTTGAACAATTTTATCTTAAATTAACTTTTTTGGTGCTCTTAGAGGCTGGAGGGGAGTGGGGGTAAAAAAACGATTAACACCGAAACGTTCGACCTTTGGTTTCCATACACGACAGACATAATTATTTGTCAATTTCCATTCCAAAGTGAATTTTGTTTTTTAGATGAGCATATTTTGGTATAAGTATATTTTTTATAACTAAAATTGAGTTTTCTTTTCTTGTTTATAAGTTTAACCTATTTGGATGTCGAAAGATCCACATATAATTTTTTAAAAATAAAACTTACCGTTATCTGCAGGATTGTATCCACAATTGATAGGATGTTTCTTGCAGGCTTTTCTTATCTCTTCTATAACAATCTTGATGAGCGGAGCAAATAAATTTGGCGGGCATTTTCTAAAAATAACGGCAGGCAATTAAAAATAAAGTTTGATTGGTTATTTTATCTTTCACGCATAACGGATGTCTACGGGTGAAACAGGAAGCCAGAACGAAAAAATTAAACAAACGTTTTTCTTCCAGACATACGTTATCTAAACGAAACACAAGTATATCGCGGCATGTATACAATTATTTTTAGAGTTAGTGTTTATAAAACAAGATGTTCAAATATTGTCAATGGTGACTAAATCTAAAAATATTTTATAAGTAGTTTTAAACATTCTAATACTGGCGGAAGCTTTAAATTTAATTGATATTCCTTTATACCATGGTTTGTAGCCAATCACCAATCATAAATTCACAGTGGCTATTCTTTTTATTTTAACCAAAATAAATTGTTAACAAAATATATTGTAGTAGGGGAAAGTCAAGAAAATTTAAATACTAAAAATAAAAAAAAAATAGAAAGTTGCAAATAATAATTACACTACAAACATTTGTTGCTCATACTTATTGTTACAAAAACTCTTTGAATTCGAGATAGATGAGTAGTACCTATAATTTTTAACATAAAATATGACAATTCATCAAATAGGACTTTGTTAACCAAATTTTAAACTTCAGCTTTAATCCATCCTGCGGTGAGCTGATTATATTTTGTCATTGTCGAAAGATCTGGGGTAAGTGCATTTCTGTGAGATTGCAACCAATTTATTTTTTTTTTTTGTAATAAATCCAAATTTTCAGATAAAAATACTTTCGGATTATCATAACTTAAGGTTGTAAAAATATTAGTATGCTTAAAAAACTATATAGTACGATGATCTCTAGTTTTTATCTTGATTTTAAAGTCAACTTTGAAATTGAAGGTATGCACTTACCCGCGTTGACCTTACCTAATTTAATAATCTTACATAAAATAAAAATAAAGTTTTCACGAAAACAATAAATTAAAATCAAAGCCAACCCTAGTAAATGCCATTTAAAAATCTATTTCATTCGCACCCTCATTAAGCCCGTTTAAAATATTTTTTTTTAATTAAATGTAAACGCTCTGTAACATATATCTCTCCACGCCAAACTTGGTCAAACCACACCATTTCTTAAAACAAATTACGAGACATGACACACGACACGACTTTTTTTTCAAGAGAGAACTATTCAAACCTCCAAGCAAGCAAGAACAAAATCAATCTCCACGAGAAACGGTCGCAATTATTGTAACATTAAAACACATCATAAAAAGATCTTTTAAACGAGCATGTTTTGAATTTAATTTTTTTATGGAAACGTAACACTCAATTGTTATGTGGTTATTGAATAAAAAGTTTATGAAGAAAATAGTTAAATATTGACTTTTTATTTATTTACATGTTCTACGACATTTCATTTTTCCTAATACCCTGCTATAGGAGTTATCCTTCTTTTCAGGGTGGTAAATAAACCAGTTATCGAAAGCAATCACTTTAATTTCTGCATTCCACAAAAATCATATATTAGCAAGATTTTTTACAAGATTCTTCATATATACAGTACACAACTCCATCCTTAAGAATACAGCGATAATTTAAGAGACAACATCGACGACCTTCTACAATTAAGGAGTTAAGCGTAAAAGCAACTTTTATTTATACGTTTTAGCAATAGGCCTTTACATCACAATTTTTTGTGCGCATGTGTCAGTAACAGCCACCTTTTTCGTACTGTTTTTTGTAAAAAAGCATGTTAAAATGTCCACTTGAAAAAAGTTATAATCGATAATTATTAATTTAAGTATATTTATTTAAACAAAGGAAAAAAAAGAAAAGTAGTAAGTGTCTTAGTTGAAATAGTAGTTTGTGCAACAAGAGTGGATATGGACAATCCACTCGAGTTGTATAGTATATTTTTTCTATGACCCAATAACGGAAACCTACATATTTTAGGTTATTAAGACAAAATAACTAATTTTAAAATAATTTATGAATTTTACTGATTTTTAAAATAAAATATATATGAAAAAAAAAATTAGTCGCCAGCCGAGAATCGATCCCCGGCTTTTCACGTTGAAGTCAAACATGTCCATGCCTCTACGTCCACTAATACAATTTTGGTTTTAATACTCGTAATTAAAATAGTTTCATATTGTTTGATTAAATTTTAATTTTTTTTTAAAATATGGTTCAAATAAAAATAGAAATGCTATTATTTACTATTATTTCTAGATTTTACACAAAAATGTATATAATGTATATGTAATCTTAATAATTAAAAAATATACTAACAATTAGTTTAACAGGAATGTCACTTATTTAAAATTTTAAAAATAATAGTAGTTGGGTGTCCAAAATATGAACTGTGATTGGTGGATTTAATTTTTTTGCAGTGTTCTCACTACCTAGAATGGATATGAAATATATTCGCTCAGTTGAACGCAATGACATACTTTTTCGTTTTGTAGTCTGTGGCTAATATCCATGTGGGTGTAGAAAAAATAAATGTTTGAAATCAATTAATTATGTTATCTGCACGGAAAGGAAAAACGAAACGGTATTGTTGTGGAGTACACAAAAGTGACACACGATATAAATCATTCAAAGGTAATACATTATTTTATAAATTTTCCAAAGACTTACCTGCAATATCGTAAAAAAACTATCAAATCATTATGCAAAATACATATTAAAACATGTTCAAAATGAACATTATGGGTGAAAAAATGTGGTCGAAACAAAGGTTTTTGATCGATTGATGTTACTAAAGATACTTATATGTGTTCACTACATTTTCATGGAGAAAGTGATTCAACAGAAGAAAATCCTTGTCTGGTATTACACAATATTTTTTTTAATATTAAATACTATTTCGGTAAACATAATAATATTATTAAAAATGTCATGTTGATACTTAAAATTTTAAATAATTTATCTTATTAATTATACTCGTGATTAACTTTCATGTTAAAGTGTTTTTGCAAATACTAATAGTTGGTTGGCATAATTAATTAGAATAGAGTTATAATTATTATTTGTTTTCATTAATTTTTTACACAGTTAACAAGTATTGAAACCTAACTTCTCAATCAGCACACTTTTTTTCCTTGTTGCGAACATCCACGACACTTCAAGCACCTTTTCAATTGCTCACAACTATGTGCTTCCACAGAGTTATAAAAATGTAAATCATCACCATCAACGATTTTTTCTAATGATTGATTTGTATGTAGAGATAATATTGCTTTTAAAGCTATTGTTGATCAAAACAGTACGATCTTTCTGCTACTTTAAATCTAAGAACAAATTTGTAATAAGTATAGTCGATTGAGGATTGGCGAAAAAAATATACACTATCATACTCCGTCATTTCTATCATAAACAAACATCAAAAATCAATTTTTTTAACTTTCAATTTAAGATTTGAGATCAGGATCAAGTATGCTATCGATCGCTCTGTGTCGAACACTATAATTATTTATCTTTATGCAATATCCATATTTTGCAGGGACAAGGGAATATGGAGATAACCATCATGTAATATAAGTAACACCACTTTCACCATATTTGTATGAAATTTTGACATGTGTATGTGTATTGGTGTCAATACATTGTGTTTTTGATTGTAATGTAGTAATTAAAATAATTTGAGTTATTGCAATATCAAATTCTTATCGGTAGGTAGTGTGTTTTTCTACTCATTTTTTTCTTTTAATCTTGTTTTTTTTATTATCTTATTTTTTTATCATATCTGTTTCAATATTTAAATTTTCTTTATAATATTGTTAAAAATTAGCTTTAATTAATTTAAGTAATAGATGAAGTGCTTTTAATTATTTTCAAGTATTATTTTATGTATTTTTTATTCCTTTTGAATTGATATTTTCCAACTAGACTTTATAGGTATTGTAAGTGATAGTATTATTAATATTTATATATTAGGATTTCTATTTATAAATCTGGTGTAGATTAGAACTTTTCAAGAATAACGCATCACTAGTACGGGCGGAAATTGACATATCGCAATGTGCGGTTGGTGTCGATTGCACTATATCGTATTTTGGAAAACCAACCACAGCAACAGAACATTAGAAAATTTCATTTCATATGGTTACATTTTTATTCCTAATTTAAATAAATTTATGCTGTACAAATTTTTAATATTCACTTGATAGCTGAAAAATGTTTAGATGCATTGCTAGTTTGAAATAAGCTCCGTCTTGTGGTGCCTTTTCTTAATTCGATGATAAACGTGTATGACACCTTCCCACCTATAAAACGTCTTTATTATAGTTAAGTTAGGATCAAATTGGAATACGTTTCTTTAATTTGGAATGGATAGTATTAATATTCAATTAGAGAAATTGAAAAAGTACAAAAGAAACTACTTACATATTTTTAATACAAACCACACCATGCATCTAATATTATGATGTGATAAGGTCAACTTAGTTGAGATGAGAGTTGCCTAAACTCTAAAATACGCTTAATTATAATATAAACGCACCCGATATATTATCCTTAATATGATTTAGTGTTTCACCACGTAGATAATACTACCAACCTCCTCTTGTAGCCATGTTGAGACTAGCCAACCAGTTCAATGTGTATAGATTTAGACTGGATAGCGACTAAGAATTTTCTGTGGAATAATCCTGGATTACATATTAAACATATCTGTATAGGAATTGTGTTTTTGTTTTATTAAAGTATAAAGTTTAAAACTACAATTGTATAAAAATTACATAATAATATATTTCAATTTTTCTATTTATTTTTGTTATTCTTCTCTCCTCTGTGAGAGCTTATTTAATGAATTTTTCGTATTTTAAATTTTATTTTTACCAATGTAATTAAACCTTCTTGGTTTATACGAAATAACCAGATGACCCTATTTCGCTTCGCTGGAATTTCTCAAACCTCAATTATTTATGATGAGTAGCTACAATTCCAATTTTCAAGTTCCTACCTTTAAAAAAATCGATACTCCATATTAACTTTCACCCCCACCCCTTTCCCCCCTTAAAATATGAAAATCAAAAA